TCTGTGTCCTTGCACCAGTCCAGGCAGGTGACATGGGTCGGTCTCCCTTTGTCGACTGTTGCAGTTGCTCTGTCACCAATGGTCAAGCACAATTTTGTGGTGAGGCTGTGCTGGCTGTCTCAGGTCACCTCCTTGTCTGGCTTCTGCCTTAACACTGCTTCCATGAGGATCTGCTCCATGATCTTCCCAGGCACAGAGGGTGAGGCTCTCCGGTTTGTAGTCCCTCCATCTTCCTTTCTCCCCTCTTTAAAAAGAGGAGCAGTATTTCCTTAGTTCCAGTCCCCAAGGACTTTACTTGAGTTTTCAAGTGGGAGGAGAGGGGCTTGACAACCCCATCAGCCCATTCCCTCAGGATCCTGGCAGGCATCTCATCAGGCCCCACAGACTTGTGCCCAGCCAGTTCCATCAGATGATCTCGAACATGCTCTTCTCTCCGCCACCTGGAGGTTCAAGGACTTGAGACGTCTTCATATTTTATTGTGTTTTACTTATTAAACTGTTTACTTATATTTTCCAAATCTCCTGCCCACCAGGGGAGAGGGGAGAAAGGGGTGGGGGGTGAGCAAGCAGCTGTGTGGTATTTAGTTGCCAGCTGGGGTTAAACCACACTGGTGGAGGCCCAGACTCGTGCACATGAGTCAGTCTGAGCAGCTCATGCCAGGGCTCACCCAAAGGGGAGCAGTGGGAGCACCCCGCTCTCCAACAGGAATTTCCGTCCCTGCTGTGCCACAGTCTCAGTCTTTGGTGGTTCCTCATCCTGGAACTTCCTACTAACAGTCACAGCCATCCCAGACACCTCCCTCGGGGTCACAGGAGCCACGTACCCTGGCAGTGAGGGTGGTGGCAGTGACCACACAGAGTGGCCAGTGGCTGGAGGGCAGCATTGGTTCCCGCTCGGCTCTTTCCCACCACACTTCCAACACCCCCTGTGACTGTGGCTCCCTCGTGACAAGAAACACTGTGCTAAACTGAAGCCAGTCCTGGGGACCCCCAGGGTGGTGCACACAGCTTGTAAGATGGGGCTGGGGGAGCTTGGCTTGCTTAGCCTGGAGTCCAAGGGGCTCAGGTGGCCCTGGCAGCAGCACGGGGTGGGGCCTGCGGGGAGGTTGTCAAGAGGGGACAACAGCGGGGCAGCATCGGTCACAGTCACCAGGTGACACCCTCATGGCTCTGGTCACTGATGGGTGCAGTGTGACATGCAGAGACTTTCAGCCTCTCAGAGTTACTCCCGAGCCCAGCACACAGAGGGGTTCTGGTGCCAGCACACATGGTGGGCCATGTCCAGCCTCTCACCCACCAGCACCTCCAAGTTCTTCACAGGGCTGCACTTTTTGCTTCCCATGTGATACTCTCTTCAAGGTTCAACCACTTCCAGGATCTCTCCTCTTACTCTTTTTCAGGCCGTTTTTTGCTGTTCTCTCCTCCACTCTGCCCTCAGTTCCCAGTGAGTTGTAAATAAAGGTAACACTGGAGTCTGTCAGAGCTACCTCACAGCATCACCACAGCCCCAGTGCAGATTCACCCAAGGCTGTTCCACAGCATCACTGTGTGGCCTGAAGATGAACAGACGAGGATCAGGACACACATACAGCTCTGTGCTGAGGCAGATGGCACCAAAGGGGACCGAAAGCGTCCTCTGAAGCTGTCATGCTCATCTCCAGGCCTTCCCCCCCTCCTCTATCAGGAGGGAAATGACCCAATGCATTTGTATCTTTGCTTGTTGGCACTCTGCCCTACCTACCCTTGTCCCAGGCTCATTTGTGTTCCACTGCTCCCATAGAAAGCTCAGCTTCCTCCTACCCTGATGGTTCCACCATTTGGCCTCAGTCATCAGCTGTGCCACACAACCTGCATGGCTCAGCTCTGGGTCAGCCTGGCTGGCTTGGCCAGGTCTGGTCCATCCTTTCAGCCAGTCTGGCACAGGTAACATCATCCACTGGTCAAGCAACGCCCAAAGCAATGCCCAGAGGCATCAGCCCATGAAAAGCCCAGGCAGGCCCTTGTGCCCAAGCAGTTTCTTGCAGCACTTCCCGAAGGTTGTGGGTGAAAGGGCAGCAGAGAGGGGGGACAAGGCGAGGGCCCACTTTCATCTCCCACATGGGGAGGAGGGGGCAAGACAGCAGCATTTCCCTTCAGAGACCTTTGAGAACCTGCAGGTATTAGAGGCCAGGCCCATGCAGACCCCAGTGACACAAGTGGGTAGGAATGAGCAGGGCTGTCGGGTGCCCCTGGGGACAGACTCCAGTTGTTATTCACCTTAATTTACAACTCACTGGGAACTAAGGGCAGAGTGGAGGAAAGAGCAGCAAAGAACAGCCTGAAAAAGAGTAAGAGGAGAGATCCTGAAAGTGGTTGAACCTTGAAGACAGTATCACATGGGAAGCAAAAAGTGCAGCCCAGCTGAGAAGATCTTGGAGGTGCTGGTGGGTGAGAGGCTGGACATGTCCCAGCCATGTGTGTGTTGGCACTCAGAACCCCTCTGTGTGCTGGGCTGATCCCCCAGCGTGGGCAGCAGGTGAGGGGGGGTTCTGGCCCCTCTGTCCCACTCAGAGACCCCCCCTGCAGAGTTGCCTCCAGCTCTGGAATCCCCAGCACAAGAAAGACATGGAGCTGTTGAAGCACATCTGCTACTCCTTTAGCACCTCCCACAGGGAGAGGCCTCACCTGGGCTGCTGGCTCACCTGCAATAGCCCATCCCACCCAGAGGAGAGTGGGAGAGGACCTTTCTGCAGGGACTGGAGTTTAAATACCATGAGGCTGGTGCTTAACAAGGGGCAACCCTCACAGCTGCTCCAGCTGCCAGGACCAGTGTGCCCAGGTGGCCAAGAGGGCCAATGGATCCTGGGCTGGCTCAGGAACAGTGTGGCAGCAGGAGCAGGG